CACCGGGCGCGGCGCCGAGGGCGACGACAACGCGGACTGAGAGGGAGGCGCTCCCCCAGGGCGGCTTGCCTGATCGCCGGCGCCGCGTCCGACGCGCGAGAGGACGGTCGGTGAGAGAGTGCGCCCCGCCGGTGTCAAACAAGGATGCGGGCGGGGCCAGGACAAGGCGAACTCCTTTCTCGAACGTCCCAGAACGCTTTCCTCTCATTTTCGGAACGGCTCTGTGCTCACGTTGTTCAGACTGGTGTTCCTGCCCCAGCGAGGGCCACTCTTCTGGATCCCACAGGTCTCGCAGGCACCACAGGTCCCGCAGGACCTGCAAGTGTCGCAGGTCGCCCCACAGGTCCCACCCGTCTGACAGGTTCCACAGGTCCCACAACTACCACAGGTGTCGCAGGTCTCGCATGCCCCAAAAGGTTCAACAAGTCTGTCAGGCCCCGCAGGTCCCACAGGTCCCGCAGGTCCCGCTGGTGCCTCGGGTGCAACAGGTCTCGCAGGTCTCACAGGTCCCACAGTTCCCACAGGTCCCACAGGTCCCAGGTCTAACAGGCCCCACAGGCCACAGAGGTCCCGCAGGCCGCTGACGTTTTTGTCGACTGCGCATAGCACGATGGGGCCTTTTTTTCCTGGTGTTCCAGGTCAGCTACGACACCCGTCTGCGGATACACAAAGACCAGCGCCATGGGAAGGGATGGGAGGGAGGGACGGATGCCAGGTCTGGCGCGAGCGCGCCTGGCTTGCCTCCTCCCCTCCTCGTCCTCCCCTGCCCTGCCCCCCTCCCGTGTCTTTCGGGCGGCCCGTGCCCAACCGGAAGGGGAGCGGCGCCACACCTCGCACGGGGCCGCGCCAAGGCCGGGCCGCAACGGCGGGAATGAGTTACCAGATGCCCCCTTCCAGGCGGTCCACCCTGCCCCGCGCATCCCCACGGGACCGTTTCAGGGGTTGTCAGGAGGGGGGAAAACACACACAGACACAATGAACAGTCGATCCCCGGGAAAATATGGGAAAATATCGGAAGTGGGGGGGGAAGACGAAAACCCAGGAAATATGAGGAAATATTGGGGAAACCCTTTATTTGTGTGTGTGTGTGTGTGTGTGCTTAGTTGTGTGTCCCAGGGCCCAGTCAGATAGGTCTCCGGTGAGGACTACCTGGCAGAGGCGGCCGTGGCCGCGGGGACACATTGCGCTGCTGTTGTCTGCTCCTGGGTGGCCGGGCTGCGGGCCAGGCTCGCTCGTGGCTGGAGGGCCGCCGCTGCGGACTTCGATGAGCTGGGGGGCCTCTGTCGCCGCCCAACGGCCCTCCTCCCCTCGTTCGGCACGTGCCCGTGTGCTGCTTGGACCTCCGCGGCGGGTGGCGCACACGCCGGTCGTCCGGCGCCCGTGCGCGTGTGCTGCTTGGACCTCCGCGCCCGGTGGCGCACACGCCGGGAGTGGTCGAGGGACGGGGTGGGGCGGGCTGCACCCCGCCCCTGCCCCGGGTGCGACCAAAAAGGGTCCTGTGCCCGCAGGTCCGCCGGCACCCGCCCGCCCGTGGAAGCGACCGACCTCCGCCCCCCCCCCAGGCCTTGGCTGCCACCCTTCCCTGCTGACGGTCAGTCGCTGCAGAGTCCAGGCCTTGGCTGCCACCCTGCCCTGCTGACGGTCAGTCGCTGCAGAGTCGCACCTTTCCGCAAGTGCGACCGCAGCGCAGATGGAGTCGATGGTTTCAGCGTTGCCTTCTGCCAGACATTGTGGGAAAGATCCGATAGGTTCAACCAAGCAGGTATGAACCGCTACGATCCCTCTCTTCTCCCCTCCCCCCTCTCCCGTCCGTCCTCCCTCCACCCCATGCCCTCCTCAATCAGTGGCGAAGCGTCCAGACTTGCCTATAGGCCCACCGAGTCTTCTCCAAAGAACAAATCGTGGCTTTCGCGAAATGTGTTTTGAACCGTCTGGCCTCGGCAGCCTTGTTGCACTACACGGCTTTTGCGTAGTAATCGCACTGCTCTTCTGACACTTTTTTTCTGTGTGTTGTAACACCATGTCGTGGCAGGCCAATGGTCGGGAACTTTGGGATAGCCTGTCGCTCCGCCGGTTCTGGCCCACCGCGCTTCGGCGCGACACGCGATCCATGTCCCAGCCACGAGGCGTCCACGTCCCGGGCCTTTCCGAGCTTCCCGGCGCAGGGAGCGGAGCGACACGCCACCCGCTTGCAGGGTATAGCGTGCCGCCAGGGCCGCCGCAGCGACACGCCTTCGAAACGTCCCGACCGTAGGCCTACAGGAATGCTGGGACGGTGCCAAACATCTGGCCGCTCCAACTTTTTCGATGCTTGGGCCCCGGAGGTCTGGACCATTTCCCCAAGACCAGTTTTTTATTCCGAGTCGTTTTTTGACTGTCCCGAGGCCCGGCGAGGGCCCCCGGAGGCCGAAAGCGGTTTAAAATTTGCCGTTCCATTGTTTCTTGCAGCGACGGATCTCTGGGGCCGGTCCCCGCTCCCCACCGCCATACCTTGGCCGCCAGGCGCGCGCCCGAGCGGTCCTGTGGCCCCGCGCGCGGGCGCGCGGGGTGCGTGGTGGGCTCATTTTCCACCACCACTGGCGTGGCTAGGAGAGGGGAGAATGGAGGCTGGGGAGGTCCTCCTCCTCCTGCTCCTCCTGCTCCTGTTCCTCCTCCTCCTCCTCCTCCTCCTCCTCCTCCTCCTCCTCCTCTCCCTCCTCCTCCTCCTCCTCCCTCTCCTTCGTATGGTAGTGGTGGTGGAGAATCGGCCCATCAGTTCGGGCGGCAGCCCTCCCCCCCCCGCCGCGCTCGCCGCGCTCGCGGGCGACGAGCCTCCGCCTCCTCGGCCGGGGCCATGCAGGCGTGCTGCTCCGCCCGCGCATCTTCAAGGGAGGAGGGGGTGGGGGGGGGACGGAGAGGGAGGGGGGGTAGGGGAGGGAGGAGGAGGAGGGGCAGGAGGAGGAGGAGGAGGAGGAGGAGGAGGAGGAGGAGACCGCAACCATTTTGGCTCAAGACGAGATCTCCTCCTTGTCCCGACTCCTGAGGTTCGAGGGCCTAGGTGGAAGAGCGGCCTCTTCTCCAGGCCAGGCTGCCTCGGCCCAACTTTCAGCTTTCGCCGTACTCTTCGTGAGCTTCGTTCGCTCTCTTGGGCACAGTGATGTATACAACCGCCAGCGCGGTGGTGGCCAATTCCATGGTGGTCTGGGCCCGATCTGCGCCACATGCGGATGCAAGAAGAAACCCGCTCATTTCACGTTCTGCTATCATTGTCGGTATCCTCTCTGTGTTCTTCTGGTGGTCAGCATCGTCAGTGGCAGGGAGGAGTATGGGGTTAGCAGGATCGTGGAGGCAAAGGGGGCCAGCAGTATCGCGGCCAGTCCGAGCATAAATCCATCGACGACCTCCATCGGTTCAAGCAGTTGGCCGATGGCAAGAACAAGGGCCTTCTCTCGTCTGCTGTACGTGAGACCATGTGTTCGGCATGGGACACAGTTTTCTCAGAGAAGCACGAGCCCACCCCCGCCAACCAGAAGATCGCCAAGTTGAGCAGGAGGCTCGGCGTCGGGAGAAGAAGGTATCGAATATGGCAGCGTCGCTTGAGAACTTCACTTCTGACATTCCCGTCCTCCAGAACAAGCGTGATCAGTTGGCTTCTGATTTAGAGCAAAAGATGTTAAAGCTAGCTGAGACACGCAAAACAGTTGTTGCGCCCACCGTCGTTCCTGCGTTGCCCAAGATCGATGAGTTTTCGCAGCACCTCGACGCCTTCAAGTCACATATCTCGGGGCGGGGGGGCCAGAGCGATCCAGCCGCTCTTCGTTCCTCTCTCGAGTCTGCCTTTTCGGCCCTGGAGTCCAAGTTCAGGGAGGTTGTTCGTCCCATTCCTGCAGGGTATTCAGGACCAGTTGGGGAGGATGCGCCTGATGCAGCTGACGCCCCACCCGCTCCTGAGCAGCCCATGCAGGTTGACGAGAAGGATTGGGGGCAGGCCGTGGCATCAGTCGATGGGTTGTCGGAATCGCACAAGGGAGCCCCTCTCGAGGCTTCTCGCACCCAGGCGAAGAAGGCCAGGCGCAGATCGCCAGGCCCACGTGCGCCAGGAACACCCAATCACCGCAGTGTCTCGGACTGGGACCAGCGTTACGTCGGTTCCTGAACACGCTGCTCATGTCAGAGGGCATCGGCAGTGCAGGATGCATGGCACTCCGTTGAGAGCTTCGGGCGCCCCAGTGTCGAGAGCGATAGGGAGAGGATCATCAGCTTCAGCAGCATCAGCGGCTTCAGGAGCATCAGCAGCAACATCAGCACCATCATCTTGTGAGTCATCGAAGCTCTCTTCTGTTTCAACGCTGTCTCTCGCCACGCTTAACGGGAGTGGCTGGCAAGTGGCTGCGCATGATGAAATTAATGGACATTTCGGACTCTGGGTGGTTATGGATTTCGCGAGCTGCTGCAAGGGGCCCAGGCATCGACACTTTCCTTGCAGGGACATACGCTTTGGGGAGGACTCCTGCAGAGTACCCTTGCCAGCCTTCAGAGGTCTCGGTGGTGTATCTTCACTTCTGATTGCCTGTCTACGAGCTCTGGCAGCCCATCTGGAGGGGCATGATCGCGGTTAAAAGACACGTCGATGCATGCCCCCACCCCCCCCCGGGACCTCCAGCTGCTTAGTTGATGGGCGTGTTACTTTGTGTTTATGCGCAATGGACGCCTTGGGCCTGTTGCGTTGTACTCCGTTTACTTCGAAGACTGCACGGGGCTTCTCGGGCGAACCTCTTGATCCTGAAGGCTATCGCCAAGGACATCATAGGTCACAACCTCCCATTCATCATAGGTGGGGGCTTTAATATCAAACCAGGTGGCGTGGCCGCGTGGGGACCTCTCGGCAAGCTGCAAGGGCTTGTTTGAGCTCCGGCACTCTCCGCTTACGTTGCCGACGACGCAGCCACCGCGATAGACCACTTCATCGCGAGTCGTCGGTTGGACCATGGTTCCAGCAATGTGCTCGTGGACTTGCGCGGGGCATTTCGCCCGCACAGGCGCGTCGCTCTCTCCTTCCGCCAGCGTGATGTCGATGCGAAAACTCGCATTCCGAAGAAGTGCCAGTTCGTCCCCGCGGAACCTGCTGCGGGGCCACCTCGCGAACCTGGTATCACAGTGATCTGCAAAGGCGTCTGCGGGATTTTTCGGAGCAGTCTGAGGAGGGGGGTGGTTCTGCCCACCTGCTTCGAGAAGTATTTCATGAGGCTGGTGTTCGGCTCCTTGATGATGTGTACGAGGCCTGGAGGACTCGGGCACGGGTAGAAGTTCTGGAAGCCGCCCAAATCACGGAAATTCGATGATTGGAAGGAGGTGTCCCTCTTGAGTTTCAACACGTCGGCATTCGGACCCTCGTGGCCACCAACAGTTTCCGATCTGCTTTTCCTGGTAGGGCTATCTTGCGTGTGCTCCATCGCCCATCGGGAGCTCAAGCGGCTTTTCAGGTCCCAGGCTACCGCGCCCAGTGCCGGAACCACTTGCTGACTTTATTGGTGCTCCTAGCGCGGGAGGGGGGTGCATTTCGGCGTCGTTGGAAGCGTGGCCTTGGTTTCTGGTATCTGTTCCTTGCTGGGGTTGCTGGCCGATTATTGTATCCACGGTGTGGTGGCCATTTTTTCTTTTTTGATCGACGAGGTTTCTAGTTTTGTTGCTTCGGGAGAAGGTTGGGCAACTGGAGGAGAGGAAGGAGGCGAAACGGCCCTGGGATGCGTTCGGATTCAGCCAGCAACCATTGTACGCAGGCTTATTCTTGCCAGCGCGCAGGCGCGCCCGTGCCAGAGGAAGTTGCACGGGTTGCTGGGCTTCTGAAGCTCCAGCTGGGCCAGGAGGTCTGTCCTTCCGCGATGAGGTGCCCGTCCCGCCTGGGAGATCTGCAAGGGCCCTAGAGAAAATCAGCCAGCGATTCAAATCCAGGACTTGTGCCCCTGGCGGCCTTCATGCCTTTGCGTTTTTTTTGTTGTGCCTTCTGGTTCTGGGCTGGACTCCTCGGGGATGATATATCACTGGATGGCTATGGCTGGCCAGGCGCCCTCGCCCATGCACCAGCTTGTCGCGTTCCTCGCGCCACAGGTCAACGAAGGCCGCCGCCCGATCGGGCACTGCAGCGGTTTCGCTGGACTGCGTGGGAAGACCCGCAGGGGCCCGCGTCGCAAATAGGAGATGTCGTGCGGTTCGGGGCCCGAGTTCTCCATGGGGCAGGGCCCTTCGGCCCTCGGTGCCGTTTTTTTTTTTTTTTTGGGGGGGGGGCAGGGTGTTCGTGCTGAAATGATTTGGGAGATCGGCTCCACTGCGCTACGCTATGATGGGACCTCCAGAAGTTCCACGAGCATATCCAGCATGGCATCTTGGGGGAGGGTGCCATGCAGACTGATTGCCCGCGTAATGTTCTGGGCTTCGCCGCGGGGGCTCATTACTGGAAGAGCTTCTTGCTTTTGGATGGGGCTTCCGCTGAGCCCCCTTCTGGCCGACCAGGGGCATAGTTGCGGGAAGTGCATCGGCCGCATGCGAGGCCGAGGCTTTCGCGCCCCCAACTGTTCAGGCGGGCCCAGGGACCGAACCCACTTCTCAAGGCTCTCACGTAGACGACCTGTCTACGCATGCGTGGTGCGAGTCCATGCAGGCCTGGCGTCGGCCAGCGCAAGCTCCTTATTTTGTCATGCGCGTCGGGTCCACGACGCGCTGCAGGCGCCGCGGTTTATCGTTAAGATGTACGTACGCAGTGGCAAACTCCAGCGAGCTCCTGGAGCATGTCAAGGCAGGGCCCACGGAGTTGGCAGGCACTCCCGAGTGGAGCCCAGGCAATTTAGTTCGGCATTTCCTTTGCAGCGGGGCGTCACCAGCATCGCCCATTCGCGGGGAGGTTTCGCAAGATGCGCATGCAGGTTTTCAGGCATAGGATCTCCAGGCTGAAGACCCTCAAGGTTCCCGAGAAAGTCAAACCCAGCCGATTTCGTACCAGTGCCCCCCCGCCATCAGCTATGGGATGGAAGTCCCAGGAGTCACCCCGAGCGAGATTCGCGGGTTTCCTCGGGCTGCTTGTCGCATGGATGGCGCCTCCGAAAGTGGCAGCAATTTGGGTCTTATGTGGGCATTGCCTGCATGGGAAGGTGGCCCTCTAGCCTTCGCATCAGGGCCCCTGAAGGCGTGCGCTTGGGAGGGGCGGCGCGCCTCTCAACCTGGGCCCCATGAAGGGCGCGTTCATCGAGATGCTCCGACCCTAGGTGCCTTGAGCGAGGCTTTCCATTCGGCTTTGTCGCAGTTTCAGGACACTGTAGGCCGCTCCTGGCTATGCCGCGCCAGGGGCCCAGTGAGCTCGATGCTTTAATGGTTAGACAGGGCTGGGGGGAGCCGGGGGGGGGCCTGCCGTTCTCGTTAGTGCGACCAAGCGGAAGTGGATCCTCCCGGAACCCCCGCCGCAGCAGTTTGCTAGTGTTTTCACGACATATCAAGCCAACCGTTTGCTTTCAGGAGTGATTTAGCCAATTGTTTGCTCCGTATTTTTTGCCACCCTAGATCTTGCTTGCCGCGAGGCAGGGCCATGGCTAACTGCCGTGCAAGAACATTTGTCCAGGCATGTGCTGTCTAACTCGGCCCCCACCTCACAGGCCCTCACCAAGTGGGGGTATCGAGTCGAGGATGAATGCTCTTTGTGCGGGCCGCCTGGCGACAGTTTGTGGCATCGGGTGTGGATCTGCCCCCGTGAATTGCCAGTTGCCGCTAGGACTGATCATTTTCGCGGTGCGCTGATCAGTCAGATTTGGGAGGCTGGCCAGGATTCGTATTTGACATCGTGGTTGATCATAGGTCCCCAGGAAGTGCCGC